ACATACCCCAAATATCTGGAAGCAAAATACTAATGTATACATGTACTTTGTGATTCAAAAGTAATATAATAAAGATTTTTGTACCTACCAATGGAATTATAAAACTTTGTGGTACACAAAAGAAGAGATGTGACTTAGTGCAGAGGTCGCCAACCTTTCGGACCTCAGGGACCAATACATTCAGAATTTTAAATCCCGCTGACCACTAATATGAAATTTTTAAACATACATAAGTCAGCACTGAAACGCAATAAAAAACACAAAAAAACGTGCTGATCAGCGCATTTCTATTAAAATGGGGGCGGGGGTGTCGTTGGGGGGCCCTTACAACATTTTGCTATGGGGCCCTGGGATTTCTAGTTACGCCCCTGACTATGGCCCAACTTTTTTGGCCTTAGTTCTCTTTTTGGTCACAAGAGGACATATACTCAGCATATGGCGAGCTACTGCCCACTATATGCTGACAACGCAGAGCCACGCTGCAGCCGGGACAGATCCCAACAATACTGTCGAGATCCACCCTGCCACCTGATTGACAGCTGGCTCTGCCTCAGTAGAGCCAGCTGTGTCCGGCCCCTCCCCTGTCTAATCCTCCAGTCAGCGCTAGAGGATCGGAGGGGACACACACACACACACGCATCCTGCAGGGAGAGGATCCGGAAGGGGGGGGATCCCTCTGGGGGTGGCAAAAATACACGTTTTACTTAATATCATGTACAAATCGTGCAAACCGGGAACAAATACATCTAGTTGTATCTAAGATTTAATAACAAGGTGTAAAGTCAGTGTGTTTTGCAAACATATAACGCACCATATCTCCAAAAACAAAGCAGCACAAACGTTTATTTTTGCGGCACAAATCAGCACAAACGCGGCACAAACGAATGGCGTCTTTGTTTTTAAAATTCAGCAACATGGGGTGCAAGGTGGGCGGAGTTACAGCAACTATAACGCACCATATCTCAGAAACCAAAGCGGCACAAACGTTTATTTTTGCGGCACAAACCAGCACAAACGCGGCACAAACGAATGGCGTGTTTGTTTTTAAAATTCAGCAACATGGGGTGCAAGGTGGGCGGGGTCACAGCAACTATAACGCACCATATCTCTGAAACCAAAGCGGCACAAGCGTTTATTTTTGCGGCACAAACCAGCACAAACGCGGCACAAACGAATGGTATATTTTTATTCAGGTTTTACAAACATGGGGTGCCAACTTCACACAGGTTGTAAAGTGCTGTGTAAATTGTCAGCACTATATAAATACCTGTAATAAACAAATATGTGATATTAGGAATTAGAAGCTTTTTGGAAAATGCATTCCCATCATTTTAGGAAAAAACATTTAAGGGAGACCTGGAATCCGAATATGAGACCTCGGCCATCCTCACGACACCACAGCTTCGAGGTCACTTTAATTAGGAGAAACAATTTTTAGGTATCAGACGGCGAAGCTTTGATTCTTTCCATTTACACAATGTTTCATGACTTCCACTACAGCACAGAGCCATAAATTATTCCTGAGCTTTGACAAAGGCATCGATCTGATACCGTCAGCTAAACACAAGTACAATTCTGGATTCTGAGTTCTATGTCTGCAAGCGTTACTTTAGCATGACTGCTTCTACATGCTACAAAAAAAAGACTTTTTTTTTTTTTTGGCTCATCTATTTTTAAATTATTACCTTTACTTTAAAATGTGATTTTAGGTTTGGATGCAACCGACAATGGCATTCTATACCTATGTATGGTACCCATGTCTATGTACTGCAAAGACCACCCAGGGAGCTGCAAAGGATGCAGAAACATTTCCCGTGAAGCAGAATCTCCTGGGAGGGAACCATTTGTTTTCCTAAATGCTCTTGAAAAGGATAGTTTGTGGTTAGTAGTCTTAGGTTGTTGTAGCTGAGAACAGCGAGTCATATTCAGGGAGCGGAGTTCAGCCACAACTTTGCTATTTTCAAAGTAGTAATAATGTGAAATGCGTCTTCATTTTCTGGCTGCTTCAGAACCAAAGTAGCAATGTCTTTAAGGTTTATCATACATATTACATATATTACAGGTATTTATATAGTGCTGCCAATTTTACACAGCACTTCACATCAGTCCCTACCCTCAAAGAGCTTACAATCTAAGGTCCTTCACATGCATACATACTAGGGCTGATTTAAACAGGAGTCAATTAACTGTCCAGCATGTCTTTGCCACGCAGATAGTGTCCTGTAACCCCCCACCCCACCCCCCAGTGCTGCAAGTAAAATGTGCTAACCACTGAGCCACTGTGCTTCCATATTGATGAGCAATTTCATTTATCATGGCTCATCTACACAGACATCTCTCCCGGTCGCTCTGGGAGTCTCCTGCTATTAGATAGCGGCACCCGGATGCCCGGGTGAGAAACATTTTCTCCCGGAAAGGTTTACTCTGCTATGTCTAGCAGAGTAAACCTTTCCCTGCGATCTGTTTTTAAAAAAAAAAATGTATGACATCGGCCGCCATCAGTCAGAGAAAAAAAAAAAACCCAGCATAGGAATGAATAGCTACATTCCTATTGGCTATTTCACTTTGCAATAGCCAATAGCAGACTAGCTATTGCACCCGCCCACTGCTGCTGTCAATTAGCAGAGGGGGACCTGAAATTCTCCATTAGGTCCTCTTCTAGTGATTGACAGCAGAAGAGGGTGGGTGAAATAGCCAATAGCAATCTAGCTATGCATTCCTATGCTGTTTTTTTTTTTATTATTGCTCTGACGGCAGCAGCTGTCAGAATAATAAAAAAAAACAAACCAGCAGATAGCAAAGCAGCTATTGATTCCCGTGCTGTCCGCCATCATTTCAGGCGCCCCCCCCCCTTCCAACGGGCAGCTCCCTGAAATTGCTTTTTTTCAGGTTGAGATCCCTGTCTACAGTATGTAGGTTATATACAAAGTATTGATACAAATGTGACATAGTTACATAGTTACTTACTCAGGTTGAAAAAAGACACAAGTCTATCAAGTTCAACCTATAGAAACAATAGTGACCATGTTTCATGTTACACCGTGAATCTGGGTCGGAAAGCTGGACTTAATGGTCAGCTTCATTCAACCCACTTCCTGTGAGTCCAGGCTGTCATGGACACACCCCCCTGCGTGTGTTACCGCTGGGCTTACAGTACAATACTGCAGAGAGGGACTCTCTATCAGAAGTATTTGGGAGCATCAACCAATCCCCAATTTCATAATAAGAGGATCCTGACATGTCATGTGACTGGCCAGAAGACACCTTCATAAAAGGTACAGTATGTGGCCGGAGTATTTTTAAAAAGAAGGTGGATTTATTTACTTAAGGGAAATATATCCAAGTGTTATTCTTTTAATCCTATTTTAAAAGGATCAATACGTTCAGTTCATAGCATTTCAACATCAATCCTGATGAAGTGGCCCCAGCAGCCACGAAATGCGTTAAGGGTGTTTTAATAGAGCCTTATATAAATTTGCCTACACAAAAATATTGTGTCCAAGAAAATCCTTACATGTACTTGGAGTGCCTTGACATACATATTCCAAGCAAATCAAGTCTACTGGCACATGGGGGACCCAACTAATGTCCTCTCTGACACCTCATCAAAAACGCAGTCTTGCTTGACTGTGAAACATAAAAAATGGACAACAGTACGGGGTTCCTAGATGTCACACAGAAAACATCCAAGGAATGCCCCAACGCACTTTGCATGGCTGTACTCACCCACAAGGCCTAGATGTTTGGCCATATTTTATCTTTAACAAAACTTTACCTCCATGCAGCCATGATGTAGGGTAAGAAGTTACAGCAAAATGTTATAAAGTCAGTTTTGTTTCAAGGCACCTTTTTAGCAAGTGTAATGCTTACACCGAAAATGACATTTTAGTCCCACGGGCAGCTGAGTCCTTAAAAATCAATATTTCTGTCCTCTAACTGAATTGGAACACCGCTGGTAGCAAAGATAGCTGCACATTCCATGAAGACATCCATAGAATCTCTATGCAGGCCTGCCAGACACAGGAATACACTGAACTCCCTGATGTATAGAAGAATGGTCCAGCAAAGGGAAGAGGGAAAGGTTAATCGAAATGCATCTTATCTAATAATCCCAATACATCCAGCTCTCTACTGGACCTAGTCTGTCACCTCAGGGGTGCCTACATTCCCTGTCAGCCTAACATATAGAGGATATTTTCAACGCTGCAACAGCCCTCTCTTGTGGTATGTTGTATAATGACAAGAGCTACTCAGAGCCAATAAAGGGACCCGGTCCAGATGCAACTGATGGAGCAGTCTTGGTGATTTGTTTCAGGGCTGTGATTGTCATCCATATTTCCTTTTTTCTTTAATAGATATTAACAGCACACATACAATCCAGGCCGCCATCCGTGTGGTGAACAAAAAGATGTCAAACATATATGGTCCACAAAAGTCCACAAGTTCCAGCAGTTGGCAGTATTTGTGTCAAAGAATGGATGGGTATGTCTGGGGTCCGCACACCTAAATAAGTAGAGAGTGAGGTGGGCGCGGGGTGAGTAAGGAGGTGAGGAAGAGAGGGCAGAAACATAGGTAAGGAGAACAAAGGCAAGGAGTGGCGCAACAAAATAAAGATGGATCAGCCACGGCTTCAAGCAACTCGTGATGCTGAAGGTCCCAACTATGCATTGAGATTGCCCTTCTAACAGCCCCTGCCTCTGGGAAGTGAGAAGTTTTTGGATGCCGGTGTTCCCATAAAGAGAATCCAAGCACCCCATATCATGTTGTATTGGTCTTGTGTGTAGCCCATTAGATTCTCCACTCTCATGAGGTGATCCCCTGAACCCAGCCTATATGGAATAGAGGAGGTTCTCCAGTTCCCCGCATGGATCAGCCATGACTCTAAACAACAAGTGATGCTGAAGGTCCCAACTACAATTTGAGATTGCCCTTCTAAGAGCCTCTGTGAAGTGAGAGGATTTTGACGTTCCTTAAATAGAAGCCTAGCACCCCATATCAAGTTTTATTGCTTTTGTGTGTCATGGAGATCCCACGTTAGATTCTCCACTCTCATGAGGTGATCCCCTGAACCCAGCCCTTGATATATGGAATAGAGGAGGTTCTCCAGTTCCCCACATGGATCAGCCGTGACTCTAAGCAACAAGCGATGCTGAAGGCCCCAACTACAATTTGAGTTTGCCCTTCTAAGGGCCCTGCTTCTGGGAAGTGAGATGTTTGTGAGATTTCCCTTAAAGAGAATCCAAGCACCTCATATAATTTTGTATTAGTTTTGTGTGTCATGGAGATACCCAATTAGATTTCCATTCTCATGAGTTGGCAGAGCTCCTGAACCCAGTCCTTGATATGTGCAATTGAGGAGGCTCCTGAGTCATGGTATAATAGAGAGGGAGAAACAAAGGAGGTCCTTCCCAATGAGAGAGGAACTGGGCAGGATGGACAGTAGTGCACTTTGTGGAGATTTGGGCACTGACATACCTGTAACTTGTCAATGTATGTTGAATGAAGCATCCCAGAGTGGCTTGTGTGGACAAGTTCACCATAGGTGTAACATGGTGCCCTGTAAGGCCAGCAGTTGGGGATGATTGTAGGAAAGATCTTGTGCAGGCATGGGGGGCATTTAAACCACTAAGTTGATATTTGCTAGTCCTACACCTAAGCTGAGGTGACCCTAGTAAGTTTATCAGTTATCGTAAAAGCCTTAATTACTTCATTTGTGGAAAGTTCCGTTTGGAGAGGTCTACCAGGCCACCATAAAAGATGGTTGAGAGGTGGATCACAACATTAATAGAAGGTCACTGAGTAAGGAGACTGAGTGAGAGGGCCCTGTTGTGCACTGACAAAGGCTGTGTAGGGTCTATGGAGGGAACCCTATCTTTTCCAATTCAGAGATGATCATCATTCACTGCAATGGTGAAGCCAATTCCTATCAGGAGAAGTCTGGGCTGAAAGAATTTGAGAGATTTTAAAGTGTCATTGCCTAGTGTTTGATATATAAGTGAGGGTTTTCCTTTGTGCATTGAACATTGGATTCTCTAATGAAGGGGTCATAGGGCCCACAAAGGAGAGGTTTTCATGGATATTTCTATACACAGTAGTTATGGAAGTGTATGGTAGGAATGTAGCCTACCTTCACAGGGCTTCAGTTCTTCATCCAGATCAGTAATCTGCAGATCCGGGAATCCCTTTTACTTACCTGTTTGCATAAGAATTATTCCCAAACAAGAGATGTTCTATGGAGACATCTCTGGATTAAAAGCGAGTATTGCAGCACAAGCTGTTTCATTTTGTCTTTTTATTAGGCTAATTTTTTTTGTATGTACATTTTTAGCACCAGTTACATTAAAGCAGAGCTATGCTTAAATGTTGACCTAAAGGAAGTCCGTTGGTCAAGACTTAGGTAGCCCGTCACAGCTGACCTCCTTCCAAAAATAAGCATGCAGCAAATGAAGTCCACCAATTTTACCCTACCTTTCCTAACCTGCAAATTTTTTTCCGGGTGAGTTACCGTAATATTAAAGCTGGTGGTTTGGCATAAAAACTGGTCTTTTTAGAAGCAGGTCAACAATGGCATCTTTCATATATATCTCATACCCATCCATGAATAAAGCTATCCAAGTGTTCAGAGAAGATAAAAGGAACTAGAGAGGAACTAAGGCGTCTGCTTACATTTCATTCTAGTCCACAAAAGGGAGTCCTGGGTGCAATGAGATTCTTACAAATGTGTTGCTCTGCCCCTCTTTGTCTGCAGGGGCACAGTACACCTCTGACAGTCCGCCTGGAAAGGTGCCGTTTGCATACAGAGCAATCTGCAGACTAAATGCGTGGGCACGTCTCAGTCTCGTTCTTGCCGGTAGGTAAACTACGTCGCCAAGCACATGTTGTATGTGAACTGCGGCAGCCAGATTTGTACCAATGAATGGCCAACGCTGCTGTTTGCATGCAACCACTCAAACCTGGCTCTGAATGCAGACAGTTTGCATCCAGGGTGGTGGTTCTGGTTGAATACAAACTGGACACATCTAATTGTCCGGTGTGTATGTGGCCAAAGCACAGAGTGCCGCTGCGTCCAGATGTGGAGTTTAGCCGAATCTGAACACAGCAGCCTGATCAACCATTTAGAGCCGGAAGCCCCATTTATATAAGAGGTTAGGCTGCTGTGTTCACATGTGGCTAATCTCCAGACCTGAACGCAGCAGCACACTCTGGCTGCATACATGCTGGATGATTAGTAAAGCAACACATACAGTACACCTCTATGAACCTTCTCTACATGGGTCATGTGTTTTCTTCCATTTTGGCTTTTGGACACATGTTGAGGACCCATAGGGGATGGACTGGCACATGTACCGCAATGCAAGTTGACGCATCAGCAAAGAATGGTAATCCGTGTGCATACTGTAGGCGTTAATGGGGCCCAACACTCCATCCTTTGAGTCAGGATTCAATAGGCGTTCTACAATCCAATGGCCCTGGAGCCCACAGAGGCAGTTACATTCAGTCTGCTGGTAGAAGGTATATGCTCCCTCTAGTAGTGGCCACTGGTGGCTGCCACTAGAGCAGGCAAACAGTCCCACAGGGCCATCTTGCCATGTGCCACTTACCCAATGGTAGACACCACAATGTCAGGAACCGCTAAAAAAACAAACTCACAAAACTAGTCTTTTTTTTAAAAAACAAAATCTTTATTTGGTCCGAAAGAACCTGAGATGGGAGCGTGGGCCACCCAAAATGTAACTATCTATACAATCTGAGTATAATAGTTGATAAAATAGCATTCTGTCTTATTACAGCTGAACAATATATACAGGTTTTAAAGATTTCCCAGTTGTGGCAGATGAAGACAGACACAGACCAGGGACCCCCGACAGACGGCTGTCACATGGGAAGGAGGATCGAGGAACGAGTATAGGACAAACATCAAAAATAAGATGGACATAGAGACGACATATTGTCCATTGAATTCACAGGTCAGCTTTGTGCTGGCAGCCTTCTCCGCCAACAGGCCTGTAATCTGACATGTAGCATTGACCATGTTAACCATTTCATTGCGGGCAACAACGGATAAGGCTATGGGGTGTACAAAAATAAAACCAATATTTAAATGACCATGTTGCCATCTCTGTTGTTTGGACCCACATATCAAAAACCAAGTATGGGGGTTCCTTTAAACCTAACCAAAATAAATAGCCTGGATAGCCACTGTTGGAAACTTACACTCTACAAACTGTGCCCGCACACTAGATTTGGGGCAGATTTGTGTTGGGTGACTGGATATACTGAAGTTGGTCTCTGGCAGTTCTTTTGTCTTCGGAGACAAAGGGCAGCTTATGCTGTTAGTTTGACGTGCTTGGCTTCAGGGTCTGGAGGTGGATAATGCACTGGGTATATAGTCAGACAGAAACCAAGTCCCTTGCTAAAATACTGCCCTGAGATTCCTTTGTAGGCCCCACAGCATGTTTTGGGTACATGTAAGCAGAGACGGGGCAGTTCAGTGTACTGACCCTATACAGAGCGGTAGGAAAACTTCTGACCTGCTCCTGTGGAACGACAAGTCTCATAAAGTATTGCAAGACTCTAACAACCACATGCATGACTCCCAGAGGTTTCACCAAAGCTGGAGGGCCAAAGTGTGTCTACCCCTGCTCTGCAGCACGAGATAAATGGGGGAAAAAGCAAATAAACCAACATAGCTATTACCAGGCAGGCTGGACTGATAGGAAAATATGGTGCAATGGCGCCATCTAGTGGCAATATAGAAATTTGCACTCAATTTACAAAATGGGAATGAAAATGCTGCAAGGCTTTTTGCATAAAAGGGAACCAAACCCTTCTACAGTAAAATACTGCGAAGTACACCAGTGCTTTCCTAAAACAGTTACCTGGTTAATGCATACCATACTAGTGTCTGTAAATAACAGCTTGACACAATTTAAAATGTAGAGGATACCTGGCTTGTAGAGAAAGAAATTAAAAATATCTGATTCCTATACTAACCAATCAGTGATCAGTTTCATTCTGCAATATGCACTAGAAAAATGGCAACTGGGCACTGACTGATGCCACAGAAATGCATTATTGTTCAGTCAAAGTGGAAGGAAGGTCTACACGATAACTTACCTATTACATGATGCCCCCCCCCCCCCCTCATTGTGTAAAAATGTT